AATTTAACATTTTTTACCCATACAAAAAGAAGTGCACAACGTCGCTAAAGAAGTCTTCACTTCAATAATATGTATGAGAAACATAGAAACAAACAAAGGTATTAAAACAAAACTAGCAAACCAGTGAACCAAATGTTCACCAAAAAAAAATGTATTTAATTAATTGAGAACTTCGGAGATTTTGTGTGGTTTCGTTTGAAATAGAAATCACGTGATTTCTCGAAAACCGAAAGTGCTACGTTACTCACATCCGGTTTGTAGTCTTATCAGACTATTCTTAACTTATAACTTAAACATTCTTTATATCTATCTTTTACGGTTTGGCCGCTGAAACAGCACCACGGACGGACGGACGGACTTGTCTATTAGATAAGAGATCATACAAGAAACAATAAAAGGGAATTTTAAATACATTAATAATGTTGGTTAGAGGCCAGCGAGGTCTCGGCTTCAGCTATTTACCCTAGGTTCAAAAGGGCTATGTCCCGAGTCCCGAGGCGACAGGGGTCTGCAGGTTGTGAAGGGCAAATTTTAAGCAGTCATTACAGCAGTGAGTGAGTATGGTGCACTGGTGTACTGGCGTCGCCTCATTAAGTATATTTTTTTATTGCTATATGTATGAAAGATCATCGCTTGGGATTGGCAACGAATAAATTTGTTATTTTTTAACAGGGCCTTTTGTCCTGGTTTAAGTTAGGGCATTCAAACTCAAACTCATTTATTCAGACTAGGCTGTTACAAGCTCTTGTGAAAGTCAAACGCTACGCCATCAGTTCGTAAATCTACGGCGGGAGACCTTGTACCGAAAAGAACTGGCAAGAAACTCAGCAAGGGCTATTTTTTTCTCCCTGTTTTGTTTCATACAGTGTTGTTAATTGAAAGATGACATCAAAAACTAAAAACATGTGTTGATGTCATATTCCATCACATTAATATTATTAATTAACAATAAGTTAAGTATAACTAACAATTTTCAACCAAATTAGCAAAGTAAAACAACTTAGTCTATTATATTAAGCCCAAGGTGCCTTATCTATATATATAAAACTCAAAGGTGACTGAAATAGTGATCTATCAACGCACAGCCCAAACCACTGGACGGATCGGGCTGAAATTTGGCACGCAGGTAGATGTTATGACGTAAGCATCCGCTAAGAAAGGATTATGATCAATTCTACCCCGAAGCGAAGCGAGGGCGGGCCACTAGTCATTTATAAAATCTTTAACTGTATAGTAACCTTTCTTAAGGAGACAAGTTTTTACACGCACTTTAAACTTATTAAAAGGTAAATTTATTATTTCTTTTGGTATTCTATTATAGTAACATACACCTTGACCCACAAATGAACCAAGAACCTTTTGGAGTCTCAATTTGGCCAACAATGCACCGTAGCTACGGTCCTGTGTATGACTTAAGCAAAATATTGGCGAAAAAAACCTTATTACTCTATCCATTAGTGAATTTCACTCTTGCGCAGCTGTGGCGGGTCACTATACATATATATATATATATATATATATATATATATACGAAATCACTACCAAGTAAGAAACAGTATGTTAATAGATTAAGATTCGCGGAATAATGCGCATTACTTATTTCGTGACTGAACAATGGACAACGGAGTCAGGTCAGCATTGAATAATTCATTGTGTATTAAAAGATTGAAAAATAGCAAGATAGGCAACTGTTACTCTACAATACGGTGGGAGAACGACGCAATAGCAGCCCTCCGTTATAAATAATATAGGATAAGACAGGTAGGCCTTAGCGGATCACCATTAGCTCATTAATGTCCCCACTGCTGGGGCACAGGCCTTCACTATGAATGGAATAGGGAGATTGGGCAATAACCCACCACGCGGGCCCAGTGCGGATTGGTGGGTTAACGGTAACGGCTTAACGTGCCTTCCTTAGCACGGAAGAGCTCGACGTAGTAAATTTTTGGTCACCCATCCAATGACAGACCACTGCGAAAGTTGCTTAGCTGCAACGATCGCAGCCGAACGCGATAACCACTTGCGCCATCGGAGCTGTTATCATGCGGCATGAGCTCATAGCGGATATTCCGTTCGATTTAGAACGTTCATCTGGGGAAGAAAACTCCACCTTATAGAAGACTACAGTAAGATCTCTGTTGGTAAGGTGTTAGGGCTCCACAGGGCAAGATGGAGTCAGGGTGGCCAACGGCTCATGTGATAGCTTTGTTAACGCAAGCGTCTATACGTTATGGCAGGCCAAACGCTTCTTTGCCACCTTTGAATATTAAAAAAAAAAGAGTTGTTTTAAGAAATACAATTCAAACAAATATATTTTGACTTCATATTTGGTGGAAAGGAAAAAAACGAGCGAGCCTTACAGTAGTCGCGTATGATGTGTAAAATTTGAAACCTCACCTTATATTAGTAAAAAGAGAAATAAAACCTACTAGGAGCTCGATGGCGCAGGTGGTTAGCGCGTTCGGCTGCGATAGTTGTAGTTAAGCAACTTTCGCAGTGGTCGGTCATTGGATGGGTGACCAAAAATTTCTATCTCGAGTTCCTCCTTGCTTCGGTAGGCACGTTAAGCCGTTGGTCCCGGTTGCATCTGCAGTTGTTAGCACCCGCCAATCCGCACTGGGCCCGCGTGGTGTGTCATGGCCCAAGCTCCCTATTCCATCCATAGGGAAGGCTTTTGCCTCAGCAGTGGGGACATTAAGAGGCTGATGATGATGATGATGATGATGATGACAAAAGGAATAAGCCCTTTGAACATTTATGTTCTAAAATCAAATCAAATAGCGCGCTTCGCTTTTCGTAATTTTTCCTTTATCTATACTATAAGACGTTACTTCGTACAAAATTTCAATACATATTACAAATACAAATAAATACAAATGCAAGTTCTTTATTTCCATACCTTACTATTACATTATATATAAGTATTAAATATGAATCGGAAAAAGGAGTAGTAGTACAGTAAAGGGTAAGTCTTGTTTTTTCTGTTGCCAAACGACATTAAAATGATATTTTCAAGGTGAAAAAGTGAAAAAACACTTTTTTTGAGACTTTAGCTCCACCTACAATGCGCATTTTTTGTTGTACGAGATTGCAGCAATGACATAAATTGTAGCCCAACGCCCTCTACAATTATGGTCGAAAAAAAAGTTTCTAAAATGCATACAAAACAAGAAAAATGCGTTTCAAAATTTTTTCGAGGGTTTTTTTGAGTTTTTCAAAAAACGCCTACGAGTTGAACATGCCCATCGCCAAGGTGGCTTACTGACGTCATTTGACAATAGATAAAACGAGACTTACCCTTTAGGTTTTTTTTTCACTGAAAAGATTTTTTTTTCGACAGATTGACTGTACTATGGGCACAGCTCAGCTGGTTTTAAGCCTACCCATCGTCAAATTTTGTGGTTAGTTATACAATTTAATTCAATTATAATAGCCAATTACATATTCTAACTTAACGGGAAGCAACCAGTGGATTTTGATTCCCGTGCGAGTTTCGTAAATGTCGGCATAAGCGGTTGTATCTTTTGATTGCTTTGGCTTAGAAGTTTCATTTTTTCACAGGTCCAAGGGAAAGTAGACCTGAGTATTAGATAGAATTTCAGTTTGATAGCTCCATGCGTTCCTGAGAAAAGCGGTCTTGACATACGGACGGACGGACAACAAAGTGATCGTATTCCATTAAAGCAGCCAAGCGCATGCGCCGTTCACACGTACTTAGGCCACCACCCTAATTTCGATTTTCCGATTTCTCTGTTATTTTGTAAGAATACCCTACAAAAACTATATATATTTGGATTCTCCATAAAATTTACTATAAAATAGTGTCCACACAATACGTCATGTCTATAATCTATTTTATTTACGTTACGGTAAACTCGGGAAAGATTTAAATAGAGAGAAAATAAAGAGCGTTTAGATGGGTAAAATGGGGTATATATTTCGTGGGGTAAGTAAGTAATGGGGTACGTCCACTTAACAAGGAACGGCGAACGACGAACTTACACAGACAACAGTATAAATATTTCATACGGCAGTTCACATAATCAATGGCTAGATAGCTAGCCTGTTCTTTCCTCTAAAAATTGATATAAGACAAAAAAAAAATGAATTTGATATTTTCCATAGAATAAGTGGGTTGGCGCGTTGCCGACTTTCGGCCCCTTGCAAATCGAGTGTACCACGGGGAGTGTTCTGAGGAGTTATTCTCTCTTATCCCACCTTCCCCTTTCCTTCAGAGAACCACGCGCGCTGGCCTACGTCGTCACCGTCTTACTGTGGCCACAATAGGGGTGATGACGGGGTACAGTAAACGAAATTCTATTTAGTCCGTCAGTTAGATGATCAAAAAATAATGGACACGTATTTTTTCTTTGGGCAATCAACCAAAAAATGACAAAGTTATAGCGCGTCAAAGTTTGGGAGTACGGGCTCGTGACGTCACTTTTGAGTGAATTTTCACTTATAAGTGTACTCAAACGTGACGTCATGCGACTTTTCAAATCAATATATCTCTGCAATGTTTATATTATGTGAAAAAAGAAAAAATACGTGTCCAATACTTTTTGATAATCTACCTGATAAACGAAGAAAAAAAAAATAGTCATCATCCCTATTCCAACGCGTAAAAAGAAATTTGGTGTCTCATTTCTTTGTCGCACTATCCGTAAATGGAATGCTCTGCCCGCTCACGTGTTCCCTCCCTCTTACAACCTGGGATCCTTTAAAAGAGGCGTGAAGAAGCAAACATGCAGGCCGGCAGGGTGAGGATGGCTGGTGTGGCAGGTAGAACTGCTGTATCAGCTATCTTCGCGTTTGGACTTCACCTTCACTTAACATCAGGTGGGGTGGAATAATTTGTCGGACCTATCTATAAAAAAAAATCGGGGTATTAAAAAGGTGCCGACTTTCGGCTCCTTGGCCTCTCAGAGGCTATAGGGATTCTGTATTTTCCTTTTGAGGTACGGAACCCTAAAAAGTAATAAGCTTTTGAAAGTACGTACCCACTGCCAGATCTCGTGGCTGGAGATGGGTTGGTCCATGAGCGCGTTCTGCCATATCCTGAACAGCATCAGGTAGGCTTTATCCCGCCCCGAGAATGACGTCAGGAAGTTCTTGTCGCCGCCCACGCATACTAGGATCGCGTTCGGTATTACCTGATCAACGTTTACAAAATTATTTAAAATTGCAGCGGACCTTCTTGGCTACACACAAATAAATAAATAATAATAAATAAATATTTCCAACACTCACACCAATAGGGATGATGACTAATTTTTTTTCTTCGTCTATCAGGTAGATTATCAAAAAGTGTTGGACACGTATTTTTTTCTTTTTTCACATAATATAAACATTGCAGATATATTGATTTGAAAAGTCGCATGACGTCACGTTTTGGTACAATTTTTACTTAAAAGTGACGTCACGAGCCCCTACTCCCAAACTTTGACGCGCTATAACTTTGTCATTTTTTGGTTGATTGCCCAAAGAAAAATACGTGTCCATTATTTTTTGATCATCTAACTGACGGAATGAATAGAATTTCGTTTACTGTACCCCGTCATCACCCCTATTGTTCGAAATTTTAACCTCAAATTGACGAAATGAAAAGTGTTACCTTTTCATTTTCGTTTTGGGATTTTTATTTGAATTAAGCTAACGCTTGATAGAGTATTTTTCATCCAGGCTGCTTAGCTCGAGGAACATTTTATAGCATGTAAAATTAACAAAGAAACGAAAATTTTATTTTTATTATTGCATTACCAATACTTCAAAATATTAAACGACAAATTTAGGTTGACATACAATCGATTGTATCAACTCTACAAATTAGTCGGCTAACACTGACAAAAAAAGTTCTTTCAATGTCATCAAAAATGTTGTCATAAAGTAACATTGTTTCCAAGTAAAAAACGTTATTTAAAAAGTAAACTTAAAATGGACTCACACTTGTTTGTGATTTCGAACTTTATGTGTGTTCGAAAATAAAATAGATGAATCACTGGCGAAATTTCGTTTGAAATTCGTTCGTTACCGAAATTTCTTTTCGGAGAAAGACAGTAGAGCTGCTGGCCTAAACCGAATAAACGACATTGAGAAAAGTTTACTAGAAAACCACGCGGACCAGGCAGCGGACGGGACTCGAACCCGCACCCTTCGCTATACGGGCGAATGCACTGACCATTATGCTACCACGGCCCTTTTCGCCGCGTCGAAATTTTCCTACCCTTAAGCTGCAAGGCAGCGCCATCTCTTCGCATTGTAGGTAATCCACATTTTCTAGTAAACTTTTCTTTAGATTTAAACATCTAGCAGTTAAATGCTTAAAAAATAAATAAAAACATAACTATAATTGCTATTTCTTCTTTCAAATGTTTAATACTTGAAAAAGTATTCATTTGACATCGTGGATTACCTACAATGCGAAAAGATGGCGCTGCCTTGCAGCTTAAGGCTAGGAAAATTTCGACGCGGCGAAAAGGGCCGTGGTAGCATAATGGTCAGTGCATTCGCCCGGATTGCGAAGGGTGCGAGTTCGAGTCCCGTCCGCTGCCTGGTCCTCGTGGATTTTTTTCTAGTAAACTTTTCTTTAGCTTTAAACATCTAGCAGTCAAATGCTTAAAAAATAAATAAAAACATAAACTACATTGAATTCGAACTCACAAGTGCAGTCTTCTCCTTGGTGATGGCGGTTATATCCTTCCATCTGAGGGCCAGCGAGGTTTCCCAGCTGAAGATGGAGGCGTGGAAGCATAAGTAGTTCTGCGACGCGTACAAACGCCCGTGTACCAGGATGTCCCTTTGTAGCGCGCACGAGTAATCTGTCCAGCATTCAAAATACCCGAATAAATAACTTAATTATTCGCAGGATTATTGCATATTATTATGTTATATAGGAGGAGCACGATGGCGCAACTGGTTAGCGCGTTCGGCTGCGATAGTTGAAGTTAAGCAACTTTCGCAGTGGTCGGTCATTGGATGGGTGACCAACATTTACTATCTCGAGCTCCTCCGTGCTTCGGAAGGCACGTTAAGCCGTTGATCCCGGTTGTATCTGCAGTCGTTAGCACCCACCAATCCGCACTGGGCCCGCGTGGTGGGTTATGGCCCAATCTTCCTATTCCATTCATAGGGAAGGCCTGTGCCCCAGCAGTGGGGACACTAATAGACTGCTGATGATGATGTTATATATAAAAATCTCGTGTCACAATGTTAGTTACCATACTCCTCCGAAACGGCCTGACCAATTTTTATGAAATTTTATATGCATATTCCGTGGGTCTGAGAATCGGCTACTATCTATTTTTCATATCCTTAAGTGATAATGGTTGTCCACCTGAAACGTAGTATTCTGAAACCAACAATGCGCCTTCGCGCCAAATTCAAACTATTGGGCATTGTAACGTAGTGTTCTCATATGGGTTAGGAGGAATGTTATCCCAGGAAATTGATAGAACACTACGTTATACAAATGAATAAAATTTTTTTGGACATTTTTTTTTAAATGAGGTATTAAAAAATACATTCAACCTTAAATTTTCTCTTCTACCACCTGCCCCTATTTTTATGGCGGTACGAAAAGTTCGCTGGCTCAGCTAGTTAATTTATATTAATAATATATTAACTACTATATAAAAATAAGTCGGGTTTTCCTTCCTGACGCTATAACTCCAGAACGCACGAACCGATTCCCACGGTTTTGCATTCGTTGGAAAGGTCTCGGGCTCCGTGAAGTTTATAGCAAAGAAAATTCAGGAAAAATTAAAAAAAAATCTTGTTTTAATCACCAAACGAAATGTTACATAAAACGAAGCCATCTGGTGGCGAAACGGAGTTCGCCGGGTTAGCTAGTATATTAATAAATTAATTATTTTAATTATTATATTATAATTATTAGAGGAGCTCGATGGTGCGGGTGGTTAGCGCGTTCGGCTGCGGCACTAATGATTTAGCACAAGTCTTATAACGAGCCTTAGCAGCAGGACACGGCATTCCTAAACTTTGTTAAACCAGTTTTTGATATAGTCATAATTTCTATATAATTTGCATTTGTAATGGAAAATGACTTTATGAGTTACCTCATATTGAAGTCATTTTTCAATTTGACGACTTCGTATATAATACAGGGAGAAAAAAAACACCCCTTGCCGAGTTTCGCAAGTTTCGAAGTAATTGTTTATTATGAAACACCATAATGTAGCCCCGCTAGTAAAGAATAAACAGATTAATAACTCTAACGATAAGCCTCTCGTCGTCGGGCAGGTCGCGAAACAACCGCTTGAAGTCGTCGACCTTGCTCTTGTAGGTGGGGTAGAGGGCATTATGCCAGCTCTTCATCTTTGACTCTTCTACACTCTAATGTAGCCCCGCTAGTAATGAATAAATAGATAAATAACAGACCTACGATAAGCCTCTCGTCGTCAGGCAGGTCGCGGAACAGCCGCTTGAAGTCGTCGGCCTTGCTCTTGTAGGTGGGGTAGAGGGAATTATACCAGCTCTTCATCTTTGACTCTTCTACACTCTAATGTAGCCCCGCTAGTAATGAATAAATAGATAAACAACAGACCTACGATAAGCCTCTCGTCGTCAGGCAGATCACGGAACAGCCGCTTGAAGTCGTCGGCCTTGCTCTTGTAGGTGGGGTACAGGGCATTATACCAGCTCTTCATCTTTGATCCTTCTCACCCTAACGTAGCCCCACTAGTAATGAATAAATAGATAAACAACAGACCTACGGTAAGCCTCTCGTCGTCGGGCAGGTCGCGGAACAGCCGCTTGAAGTCGTCGGCCTTGCTCTTGTAGGTGAGGTAGAGGGCATTATACCAGCTCTTCATCTTTGACCCTTCTACACTCTAATGTAGCCCTGCTAGTAATGGATAAATATGTAGGAAGGCCAAAGGGGAAGATCTTCCTCCGGGCTGGGTGATGGTAGCTCGGGGGCCGCGGCCCGACTGATGTTAGTCGGGCATCGTATATATGAAGAGTTAGCCACCGAATTTCATTTGCGCGATGTAGGCTTCCATACTATTAAGATCAAGTGCAGGTAACGCCATCTCTTGAGGATGGTGAGTAATGATTTCCTCCATCCGTTATACATATGTGGGGCATATAGATGTCGCCGCCACAAATAGATAAATAACAGACCTACGATAAGCCTCTCGTCGTCGGGCAGGTCGCGGAACAGCCGCTTGAAGTCGTCAGCCTTGCTCTTGTAGGTGGGGTACAGGGCATTATACCAGCTCTTCATCTTTGACTCTTCTACACTCTAATGTAGCCCCGCTAGTAATGAATAAATAGATAAACAACAGACCTACGATAAGCCTCTCGTCGTCGGGCAGATCACGGAACAGCCGCTTGAAGTCGTCGGCCTTGCTCTTGTAGGTGGGGTACAGGGCATTATACCAGCTCTTCTTCTTGGCTCCCCTCACTCCCGTGGGATATGTCGCCTAATAAACAATAGACTTTAATATACATTAAACCTTTACTAACTATTAAAAAGGGCCAAGAAATTTGCTTCTAAGTAATTCCCCTGCTTTAATATGGCTACAGTTAGGATGGAGCAGAAGAATCTGTACATATGTTACCGGTAATCTGTATAATCTGGCATTCTATGCAATACCTAGGCAATGCGGAAAACTTTAAGGCAATGTATGAAATAAAAGAGGAGCTTGATGGCGCAAGTGGTTAGCGCGTTCGGCTGCGATCGTTGAAGTTAAGTAACTTTCGCAGTGGACGGTCATTGGATGGGTGACCAAAAATTTACTATCTCGAGCTCCTCCGTGTTCGGAAGGCACGTTAAGCCGTTGGTCCCGGCTGCATCTGCAGTCGTTAGCACCCACCAATCCGCACTGGGCACGCGTGGTGGGTCACGGCCCAATCTCCCTATTCCATCCATAGGGAAGGCCTGTGCCCCAGCAGAAGGGGCGGGCATTATTAGGCTGATGATGACGATGATGAAATAATTTTCATTTTATACTTTGCCTAGGTATTCTATGCAATGCCGAATTCGATTCGAGCTACATGCCCAGCCCACTGCCATTGTATCTGCAAACTTTGCTTAGTTCTCGAAGCCATTGATTTGTTTTGTGGTCCATTAATCAGTCACTCCTACCAGTTTTCTCTCTATCACCCTCTCAGCACTACGGTCCATTCCACATCATCCTAGTGTTATAACATCTACAGCACACATCATCATATTGTAACATGTACGTCAGGTTACCTTAGCGTTGTCCTGCTTGGGCGCGGTGAGGACAGTAGCGAGGTCGCCCGCGCTGGACACGGAGGCCGAGTCGTAATGACATGTACGTCAGGTTACCTTAGCGTTGTCCTGCTTGGGCGCGGTGAGGACAGTAGCGAGGTCGCCCGCGCTGGACACGGAGGCCGAGTCGTAATGACATGTACGTCAGGTTACCTTAGCGTTGTCCTGCTTGGGCGCGGTGAGGACAGTAGCGAGGTCGCCCGCGCTGGACACGGAGGCCGATTCGTAATGACATGTACGTCAGGTTACCTTAGCGTTGTCCTGCTTGGGCGCGGTGAGGACAGTAGCGAGGTCGCCCGCGCTGGACACGGAGGCCGAGTCGTAATGACATGTACGTCAGGTTACCTTAGCGTTGTCCTGCTTGGGCGCGGTGAGGACAGTAGCGAGGTCGCCCGCGCTGGACACGGAGGCCGATTCGTAATGACATGTACGTCAGGTTACCTTAGCGTTGTCCTGCTTGGGCGCGGTGAGGACAGTAGCGAGGTCGCCCGCGCTGGACACGGAGGCCGAGTCGTAATGACATGTACGTCAGGTTACCTTAGCGTTGTCCTGCTTGGGCGCGGTGAGGCCAGTAGCCAGGTCGCCCGCGCTGGACACGGAGGCCGAGTCGTAATGACATGTACGTCAGGTTACCTTAGCGTTGTCCTGCTTGGGCGCGGTGAGGCCAGTAGCCAGGTCGCCCGCGCTGGACACGGAGGCCGAGTCGTAATGACATGTACGTCAGGTTACCTTAGCGTTGTCCTGCTTGGGCGCGGTGAGGCCAGTAGCGAGGTCGCCCGCGCTGGACACGGAGGCCGAGTCGTAATGACATGTACGTCAGGTTACCTTAGCGTTGTCCTGCTTGGGCGCGGTGAGGCCAGTAGCGAGGTCGCCCGCGCTGGACACGGAGGCCGAGTCGCCCCCCGACCCGCCGGACCCGCCCCCCGCAGGCCCCGACCCCGTCCAAGACTCGCTGCACTGCGGCCAAGAAGATACCATTACCACTGTCATTCCTCATTATACATTTTTACAATAAAATTCCTGATGCTGTTCTTGAGTTACCCATAAATGAGTTCAATTGTCACATTAAAAGTTGTTTAGTTAAGAAAGGCTATTATGCTATTTCTTTAATAGTTCTTTAATACTTGAATGACAAAACTGCATGGCTGTAACTGCAATATTGTTTGCAGTGTCGTACAGATAAATTACCTTAACTCTAAGTAACTATTTTGCAGTTTGGTTTGAGTGGTTATGGGTAGTCATGCTCTCTTAAAAATCTCTTCGGCGGTGTCGTGTGAGGCGGGTCGTTGCGTTCCCTAAAATATGGTTGAGCGAAGCGATGGCTGGTTCAAGCGTCATGCTCGTGAACGGGTGCTGCCAGCGGAGATGAGTCTGCTCTTAATTCACTGTAAACACTCGGTCGTTAGCCAGTATTCGGGTGCACGTAAGGCGTTATACCTACAATGCGAAGAGATGGCGCTGCCTTGCAGCTTAAGGCTAGGAAAATTTCGACGCGGCGAATAGGGCCGTGGTAGCATAATGGTCAGTGCATTCGCCCGGATTGCGAAGGGTTCGAGTCCCGTCCGCTGCCTGGACCGCGTGGATTTTTTTCTAGTAAACTTTTCTTTAGATTCAAACATGTAGCAGTTAAATGCTTAAAAATAAATAAAAACATAACTAACATTAAGATTTTTATTTGGCAATCAAACCCAGCAATCTTTAAAACGTCAAAGTTTTGTATTGATACGGATTTGTTTGTTGTTGTGATTTCTTGCGGTTTTTTGTATTTAATCATGTCTAAAAGGAGTAAAACCTTACAAATACGGTCGAAAAGCACTACAGCGCCCTCCAATCTAAATCCCATTCTCTTTCCGCACAAACTCTAACGTGGTAACAAAAAAATTTACACCCCAGTGGTCTCGTTGACAATGACAATAAATGCCATCATCATAACTACTATTTTATCGATTATTCGAAAATATTCTTTAGCCCCATTTTAATAAACGAGGAATAAGCTTAATCTAGTTACGCCGAGTTTTGTTCATATCACTCAATCGCCATTTGTCATTCAATGAATGAACAAAGACAAAACAAGGCATAACCAAGCCAAGCTTATTCTTCGTTTATGAATATACCATAATATATATATATATATGTATAATATACCATAACATAATAAGGGGGTCCAAGTAATATTGACGACCTCCGTGGCCAAGTGGTTTGTAAGCCAGGTTTCATGGTGTCGCCGACTAGAGATATCCTGGGTTCGAATCCCGGTGGGGGCAGATGTTTGTGTGATGAATACGAGCATTGGTACTCCAGTCATGGATGTTTAATATCTATTTCTGTATTAATATACTTATATATGTACAGTATTGTATGCTATCCGTTACCCTAGCATCCCCTAACACAAGCCTTATAGTGCTTACTTTGGGGCTAGGCTAATTGGTGTGAGTGTTGGAAATATTTATTTCAGTGATTTATTATATAGCGCTAGCAGCTTGTTAACTCGCCCCGCATCATCGAGTAGCAGATGGTAAAAAATCCGATGACACTGAGCGAGATTACAAGCTGCTAGCGAATCCGCTGGCTTGTAGCTTGTGAACTCGCCCTTTGTCATCGAAGCTTTAGATGTTAAATCTAAAGAAAATTTCTCGAAAAGAATCCACTAGTGATGTAACGAATATTCGCATTCGCATTCGCAAAATCTCTGCGAATGTTTTGCGAATATGAATATTAGAAAAAAACAATTTGAAGAAGTTGTAGTTCTGCCTTGAATATTCATTGTTACACAGTTTGCATTTAGCTCGTTCAACATCGCAAAGTGTGAAATAAGTCCATATTTCACTAGAATTCGATTTACTCATGTTAATAAATCACTATTATAATCATAATCATAATAATCATAATCATAATCTCTAGGTATAGGTATAGGTCTCCACGGGGTTCAAGCCAGCAAGAGGAAACTGACTGAAACGGCAGACTTTTTCTGCCGCATCAGCTATCTTCGTGACAGGACTTCGTTTACGCGGTGCATTGGGGAAATTTTCTGCGGCAATAAGTTAACGCTATATGACAGCATTATGAATGAATAGCGATCTGCCCCGGCTTCGCAATAAAATTTAGCCTATGTCACTAATGTTGAAAGGATTTTTGAAGTCTGTTCAGTCCTTTTTGAGTTTATTCGGTATACAACATACAAAAATACATCTCTCGCGCAACATGCTCTTCAATTGCGCAAAAATTGTACGCGGTCCAGGCTTGAAGAAATTCGACACGGCCGTTAAGGTAGCAGTAGCATAATTGGTAAGTGCCCGGATAGCGGAAGGTGTTGGTTCGAATCTCGTCTGCTGCCTGGACCGCGTGGATTTTTTTCTAGTAAAATTATCTTAAGAATTCTTAATCTAGCCTAAATGCTTAAAATAAAGCTTTGGTCTCTTTTATTTATATACTAGTGGCCCGCCCTCGCTTCGCTTCGGTGTAGAGCTGTAGTGTAAACTATAGTTTTTGTTCTCAGGCTTGTGGTATAAACAATGACTTTATTTATATAATTACACGTGTTATTGTGAGTCAACCATAAAAGATAGACATATGCTGTTGCGG